TCCCCAGAGGTGACACCTCCCTGCCACGTCCCTCAGGGTGACACTTCTGCGCCCATAGGTGACACCTCCACGTCCCCAGAGGTGATCTCTCCATGCCCCATGCGTGCCACCTCTGTGCCAACGGGTAACATCTGCATCCCCAGAGTTGACACCTCCCCACCCCACGACACCCCCCTGTCCCTATGGGTAACATAACATCTCTGTGTCCCTGTGACACCTCCACACCCTATGGGCGACATCTCCGTGTCCCCAGGGCTGACACCTCCATACCCCACGTGTGACACCTCCATGCCCCTATAGATGACATCTCTGTGTCCCTACACACGAAGCCTCCATCCCTTATGAGCGACACCTCTGTGCCTGTATAGGAAACACTTCCACGCCCCTATGGGTGACGTTTCCACACCCCCAGAGGCAACACCTCCACACCCCTATGGGTGACGCCTCCATATCCACAGGGCTGACACCTCCACGCCCCTATGGGTGACATCTGTGCCCCCAAAAGCGACTCCTCCAAGCCCCCAGAGGCGACACCTCCGTCTCCCCCGCAGCACACCGCCAGCACAACGCTCCATGCACGCTTTTATTCCCTGCGTCACCCAGCAGGGACGGCTTTGAGGACTTTCACATCATCCAGAGGTCGGTCCTGAGCGTTGGTTTCCACCATGCCCACCCTGCCCAGCACCCCGATGCCTTGGCACACGCGCCCAAAGATGGTGTGTTTGCCATCCAACCACTGCGCTGGCGCCAGCGTGATGAAGAATTGGCTGCCGTTGGTGTCCGGCCCTGCGTTGGCCATGGCCAGGATGCCTGCGCCTGGAGATGGATGGAGAGAGGGATGGAGGAAGGGATGGATGGGATCGGTTGTTTTTTTAGGGTTTGGTTGGTTTTTAAGACATAAAGGTGGGATTTGGGGACTGAGATCTCACCGGTGAACTTCAGCTCGGAGTGCAGCTCGTCCTCGAAGTGTTTGCCGTAGATGGAAGCACCGCCACGGCCTGTGGGCATGGAGATCAGCAGGGGGTCGTGGCCCCACACCACGGGATCCCCACTGCAGGGCCGGGGAGCTTCTGGTGTCCCCAGCACTGAGATAAGGGTCCCAGCGTCCCTGTTAGGGGGCTGAGGGTCTTGGTGTTCCCACTGTGGGACTTGCGACCCCATTTCAGGGCTGAGGGTCCCAGTGCTCCCATCATGAAACTGGAGGATCCAGCAACCCTATGAGGGGGCTGAGTGTTCCCACTGTGAAGCTGGGGGTCCTGATGACCCCACGACAGGGCTGAGGGTGCCAGCGTCTCCCCTGCAGGTCAGGGATCCCACTGTCCCCATCACAGAGCTGAGGATCACAACGTTCCCATCAGAAGGGTCCCGGCCTCCCTATCACAGAGCTGGGGGGTCCCGATGATCCCATTGCAGGGCTGAGAGTCCCGGCGTCCCCGTGACAGGACAGGGAAGACCCTGCTGTCCCAGGAGGGGCTGTGGGGTCCCTGCGCTCACCGGTGCCCGTGGGGTCTCCTCCCTGCACCATGAAGTCCCGGATGATGCGGTGGAACCGGGTGCCGTTGTAATACCCGCGGCGGCACAGCTCAGCAAAGTTCTTGCAGGTGCGCGGAGCGTGGCGCCAGTACAGCTCCAACACCAGGGTGCCCATCCTGCCCACAGCACCACAGCGTCAGCATCGGGGGGCTGAGGGGACGGGGGGGGAAGACGAGGAGAGGGGAACCGGGAGGGATCAGGGCAGGGAGAAGATGGAAACGGGGGGGGGGGGGGGACCCGGGGGAATGGGGTCGGGAACCAGGGTGAGGGGGAGATCCCGGTATTGGGAACGGGGGGTGGTCCTACAGCCGGGGCTGGGAGCCGAGGGGAGCTCCGGTACCGGGGGGTTCCCAGGGGCACGGAAGGCGGGCAGAAGGGGGTCCTGGTCGAAGGGGGGAACCCGAACACCTCCAGGTCCCGGTACCGGGCTTGGGGGGATTGTGGGAGCGGGGAGGAGGGACCCAAAGGGCTTCCGATACCGAGCGGGGAACCCGGCGGGCCCAACAGAGAAGGGGGAGGAGAGGGGAGGGGAGGGGAGGGGAGGCACAAGGGGGTCCCAGTAGCGGAGCGAGGGTTCCGGGGCATCCCTAAACCGGGACGGGGGGTCCGGTACCGAGCGCAGAGGCCCGCGGGGTTCCCGCCTCTTACGTGGTCTCCATGGAGACGGTGGGCGGCTGCCAGGAGTCAGGCGGGACGGCGGCCATGCTGTGCGCCGCTATTGCCGCCGGCACCGGAAGCGGCCCCTCGGCGTTTCCGGTGACACGCCCCCCTCCCCTCCGACGGCCAATGAGGAACGCGCACGGGACGGGGGCGGGGCCAATCGGCGCGGCGGGCGGGAGCGTGAGGCGCCATTGTGGGGCCGGAGGGAGAATTCGAACGGGCGGAGCGCCCCGCCCCCGCCCTGCCGGACCTCCCCGCGGCGCTGAGCGGGAGCCGGGCGGTGAGAGCAGCCGGGTGGGACCGGGAGCCGCGCTGTGGGGCTGAGACCCCCAGGTGTGGGGTTGGTGTTCCGCCGAGATGGGGGAGTGGGGCCGGCATCCATCGTTATGGGGCTGCGGGGCCCTATGGGGTTCGGGATGGTGCGGGTGTGGGGCTGGGAGCCCTCGGGATGGGGGCGAAGGGCTGGGACGCAATTCATGGGGCTGGGGGCTGGGGTGGGGGCTGGGAACCTTCCAGGGTTTGGGGCTGGGGCCGAACCTGTATGGGATGGGGGGGGGGGGCTGGGACCTCCCTTTTGGGGGCTGTGCGCTGATAGGGCCGGGTGAGGATGCGGGGCTGGGACACCACAGGGTTTGAGGCCCATAGGTGGGGCTGGACCCCCTGGGTACGGGTCTGCGTCCCCTGGGATGGGGCTGTAGAGCCGGTGTGGGGTGCAGAGCTGCCCCCCAGCAGTGGGTTTGGCCCCCCCCTGGTGTTCGAGTTCATCCCGTGCTGCCCCGTGCTGTCCCCGTGGCCACAAAGCCCCGTTGTGCCCGGTGCTGGCAGAGCTGTCCCCAGCAGGCGCTGTGCCCGGAGCTGGGACGTTGTGGGGGGGCCATGGGGTCACCTCTGCTTGCACCCAGGTCACCCATGGGCTCTGGTGCCGCTCACTGACCAGGTGTGATGATGGAGGAGCAAGGTAGGATGGCCGTTCCCAACTCGGGGACCCCCTCTGTGTGCTCCAACGTGGGGAC